GATGCTCCTTGTAAACACTGCATGTCCTGTGCACAGGGATATGCTTTCCCCTGCTTGAGAATTCCTGACATGGAGGTAGAAAGTGAAGGAAGCCTTCAAGGCTGATATGTGGCATTGGCTTGGGAATGACTTTGGAGTTGGAGACTCTTCTGCCATCTCTTCTTAACTGTCTTGGTGCTTCATCCCTAAACCCACTGACCTTTCCCTGAAGTAACTTTGAAATGTTGAGCAAGTGGTGTGGTTCCAGCCTGTCAGGGTGAAAGAACTGCTGGTCTGCTGGAGACTACCATAAATTTCAGAAGGCATATGGCCAAAATGGGAATTTATTACTTTTCCTACTTCCTTATGGTTGCAAAGCATGACTAAAAACCTAAAAGGGAATTGAGAATTTTTATTTTCCTGAAAAAAAAAAAAATTGTAAACATTCTAAGCATTAGAACATTTTCTAAACCTTTTTTATGCCCAGGTTATAATTTTATTAGCAAATTAAACTTAAATACTTACAATATTACTGTGAGTCAATAGTAAGTAAGAGTCAGTGTTTTACAATGCTAATATGCCATTACGGGATGAAGTCAGTAGCCATAGAATACCTACCAGGAGTTGGCAGTCCAAGACAGTTTAGGACCATTTTTTCCTATGTTATAAGGCCAAGTTAGAGGCTGTATTTATGCTCAAATACATAATTCCCAGTTCACATGAATGAGGAGGTATGTATGCATCATATGACTTTCTCACTTCAAGAAAGCTCAGTGTGCAAAGACAGGAATTTTTTTTTAAAGATTTTATTTATTTATTTGAGAGAGAGAGAGAATGAGAGATAGAAAGCACGAGAGGGAAGAGGGTCAGAGGGAGAAGCGGACTCCCTGCTGAGCAGGAAGCCCGATGCGGGACTCGATCCCGGGACTCCAGGATCATGACCTGAGCCGAAGGCAGTCGCTTAACCAACTGAGCCACCCAGGTGCCCCAAAGACAGGAATTTGTAAAGCATTTTTAGGTATCTAAGTACTTACAAAACAGCTTTTTTTTACAGAGGTACAGTCCCTTTAAATTGTGTACCCGCCTAAGTTCTGCATCAAGCAAGGATGAACTATCAGAATCATCTGAGAACAGTTTCAAAGTCTATTTGTGTTCTACATCACGCCTATCTGCTTAAATTCTCTGAGACCCAAAGTGATTCTGAACAGGGGTTGTCTTAAGTGTGGTCTACACACTGTTCTGAGTCTCCAGGACCCCCTCAGGGTTCCATGAGGTCGAAACAATTTTCATAATAATGGTAAGATGATACTGAACTTTTTAGCTGTTGACAAAATGTGTCAACATTGGAAAGATCTGCTGCATAGCTCACTGAGCTGAAATTTTCCAGTGACCAATGGGTGATGTTCAGAAAAACCATGCATGGGTAAAAGATCATTTCAAAGTGCAAGATAGAGCAATGAATTTTACTGTAAGAGAGTAGGAAAATTTCATTCGTTATGTACTTTTAGATCATACTGCTAACCTTTAAGAAACTACAACTTGTCAAGTTTTGATGTAGTATCAAAGAAGAATATCCACAATTACCTGGAAAAGCTATTAATATATTTCTTTCTCCAACTACATATGTGGGTGAGGTTAGATTTTCTTCAGTACTCAACCAAAACAGTTATCACAACAAAGTAAACGGAGAAGTAGAGTAAATGTAGAATCCCATTGTCTTCTAGTAAAGAGATTTGTAAAAATAGCAAATTAGATTAGGTTTTAAATTTTGCTGTGTGATCATATGTAGCTTTCCTTAAAGTTGATTATAGCATAATGCCTTTAGAATTATCACTTTAATATCAACTCCATGAGCCATAAATCTCTGACTTGGTTCTGCTTGGCACAAACTGTCCCGGAACTGCCTCCTTCTGACCTTCACTTAGTAATTAAAAAAAAATAATTCCAAAGTTAACGTCAGCAGTCTGTAATTGAAAAGACAATCTCTTACAAATCCAATGGTTTTCAAAGTCAAAATACGTGCTGTTGATTAGTTTATGTCCCACCTTTTTCTAATTACTATGGAAAAGGATTGACTAATGTTAAGAACAATACACCAACCTGTCACCACAACTAATTAAGACACATTTCCTCGCTTTGAGATACAATTTAAAAACATTAAAATTCAAATGACCAGCCTCGTTCAGGTTTACTTTATAGGCCCTAAATATTAATTATTAATACTACTAATTGAAAAAGCAGTTTTTTTCATCCTGGTAAGTGGTCTGAACTACTTGAAAGAATCAATCTTACTTGTGGGTAGTGCTTTTTCTGTTACTGATGTGTCCTGTGCATTACAGTATTCATTTATGCTTCACTTAAATAAAATTAAGGACTTTAGAGGACCCTTTTAGTGCCCTAGAAATGGGTAGTCTAAGTGGTATTTGGTATCTTAGGAGAGCTATTATCTTTATAAAGTGAGTCATCAGTTCCCAAAAGCTGTTTTGGTCTCCTCTTCTTATACTGAAAACGTAGGAGGAAGTTGGGTTGTCAAAATATAATGTGATTATATTTGACCCACTCAGCTGTACCTCCAAAAGATGAGTAACTTACACATAAGGATCAGCGCCACCTGTGCTGTGAGCACTTGACATCTAGGCAGTATCGCTTTATCAGTGTGGGAAACAGTGGTGAAACATTAAATAATACAAATGGTCATTTATACTTAGCTCCGAAAAGTGTTTTTTACGTATTTCACATGTCTCTCACGGTCTCTGAATTTGCTTAGGTTAAAAAAAAAAAACAAAACTTTGAACGCACATACATGCATAAAGAAGGCATTCTATGAAAACCCACTTTGAAGAATTGCCTCCCCTCAGGATGCCTGGCTGGTTCATTCCATAGAGCATGCGACTCTTGATCTCAGGGGTGTGAGTTCTAGCCCCATGTTGGGTGTAGAGATTACTTAAAAATAAAATCTTAAGGAAAAAAAAAAAAGAATTGCTTCCCCTCTTCCATCTCCATCTCTATTTTTCTTCAGTTCCTTTCTGCTTACTACTCTAAGAAATTTTAAAAAATGATTTTTTTTTTAAGATTTTTTTATTTATTTATTTGACAGAGAGACACAGCTAGAGAGGGAACACAAGCAGGGAGAAAGGGAGAAGCAGGCTCCCCGCTGAGCAGGGAGCCCGATGCAGGGCTCAGTCCCAGGACCCCGGGATCATGACCTGAGCCAAAGGCAGACGCCTAACGACTGAGCCACCCAGGCACCACAAGACAAATGATTTTTTTTTACTTTAGTTTAGCTTTTTGGGTTTTTTTAACGTTCCATTTGTAGTTTTAAATGGTTGGGGGCGGGCGCCTGGGTGGCTCAGTTGGTTAAGCGACTGCCTTCGGCTCAGGTCATGATCCTGGAGTCCCGGGATCGAGTCCCACATCAGGCTCCCTGCTCAGCAGGGAGTCTGCTTCTCCCTCTGACCCTCTTCCCTCTCGTGCTCTCTATCTCTCATTCTCTCTCTCTCAAATAAATAAATAAAATCTTTAAAAAAAAAAAATGGTTGGGGGCTTTATATAGGTCTTCCGTTTCTTGTCAAGATTTCATGTCGGCCCTCCGTGACTCGGATTACTAGAACTCTGGGGACTGATCTATGGAGCCAGGTAGCGCAGAGGAAAGTGTGTGACATTTACACCCAGAAGACCAGAGTTCAGTTGACTCCTGTTTACAGCTGTAACCTCTCTGAACTGTCATGTAGTGATTTCACGTTGGAGTCAGATACACCCGGCTTCTCCAAAGACTCTCTGACATAAATCCCAGCGGGGACTCAGGAGCTCCAGACCAATATAACGCGGGTACTGCACACCTCTACTTGGTCGTCTCAAAAGTATCTCCGTCCCAGCATGTCCGAACATAACCTCCTGATCTTCCCCACCAAGCTGGCTTTTTGCCTGGGTTCCATCTCTTGGTGAGAATCCCCATGATCCTTCTAGTTACACAAACGAGCAATCTAGTAGGGGTTATCTTGGACACGTTGATTTCCCCCACCCTCCTCCATCTAATTCACCACCCAGCTCTGTTGAGTTTTTATCTTCTAACTACCTTTCAAATCCCATCCCTCTCGCTAGGTCGCGATCGCCACCACCCACTCTTGTCATCTCTCTTCTAGACCCCAGAAGGGTCGCCCCTCTCACCACTTCGGCGGGTCTGCCCTCACCTGCCTCTTCACTTCCCAGTCAAATTTGGTTAGCTCTGTCGTGCAGCCATCTTATCGCTCACCCTGCAAAATCCCCTCTGGTGGCTCCCGTGGTTTTTCAGACATGGACCAAAATCCTTAAGAAGACCTGAGTCTCCACCTTCACCTCGCCTCGTTCTTTTCCGGCTCTTTGACCTTCAGTCACATGGACCTTCTCCCAGTTCCTCAGCGGCATCTTGCTCCTGCCTGTCTTAGGGCCTTTGCAGATTTTGTCCCCTCAGCCTGAAATACTCCATCTTTGCCCAGTTCACTCTTCTCATTCTTCAAATATCTGCTTAACTGGCATTTTCTCACAAAAGCCTTCCTTGATCTCCAGCCCCAAAATTAGACACCAGCCTCACGACCTCGTAGTTCCTTGTATTCTTCTTCACGTTGTAAATTTGTGTGCTTGTGTGATTCTACCCTTGAACTCTGTACTCTGCATACCATGTAAACACTGTGCCTGGCACCTCGGAACGCTCTCAACAAACGCATGACTACTTCCCCGGTCGGCTTCTTAAGATCTGGACTACATGTGGGCAAGTTACTTAACTTCCTAAGTCTAGTAGATTTCTTCTGGAAGAGGGCAGTTGGTCCTTGGCACATAATAAGTGGTCATTTATTATTAATGGTGTGGTTATTAATATTATAATTAATATTGAAGAGTGACAAAATGACATACCATGGTATTATTGAGGATTAAATGATGAGTATAAAGAGTTACTGTAAAATATAAAGCACTATTCAGAACTTATTGTTAGCATGAAGAAACATGAAGTGATTTTGATTTAAAAATCAAACACTTCGCTTTCTGCCCGCGGACGCCGCAGAGTAAGCATCGTTAAAGTCTCCCCTCCCACCGCCGTCATGTCTAAGTCAGAGTCTCCCAAAGAGCCTGAACAGCTGCGGAAGCTCTTCATCGGAGGTTTGAGCTTTGAAACAACCGATGAGAGTCTGAGGAGCCATTTTGAGCAATGGGGAACGCTTACGGACTGTGTGGTAATGAGAGATCCAAACACCAAGCGCTCCAGAGGCTTTGGGTTTGTCACGTATGCCACTGTGGAGGAGGTGGATGCAGCCATGAACGCAAGGCCACACAAGGTGGATGGAAGAGTTGTGGAACCAAAGAGGGCTGTCTCAGGAGAAGATTCTCAAAGACCTGGTGCCCACTTAACTGTGAAAAAGATTTTTGTTGGTGGCGTTAAAGAAGACACTGAAGAACATCACCTAAGAGATTATTTTGAACAGTATGGGAAAATTGAAGTGATCGAGATCATGACTGACCGAGGCAGTGGCAAAAAGAGAGGTTTTGCTTTTGTAACATTTGATGACCATGACTCTGTAGACAAGATTGTCATTCAAAAATACCGTACTGTGAATGGCCACAACTGTGAAGTAAGGAAAGCCCTATCTAAGCAAGAGATGGCTAGTGCTTCATCCAGCCAAAGAGGTCGAAGTGGTTCTGGAAACTTTGGTGGTGGTCGTGGAGGTGGTTTTGGTGGGAATGACAACTTTGGTTGTGGAGGGAACTTCAGTGGTCGAGGTGGCTTTGGTGGCAGGGGAGGTGGTGGTGGATATGGTGGCAGTGGGGATGGCTATAACGGATTTGGTAATGATGGAAGCAACTTTGGAGGTGGCGGAAGCTATAATGATTTTGGCGATTACAACAATCAATCCTCAAATTTTGGACCCATGAAAGGAGGAAATTTTGGAGGCAGAAGCTCTGGCCCCTATGGTGGTGGAGGCCAATACTTTGCCAAACCACGAAACCAAGGTGGCTATGGCGGTTCCAGCGCAGCAGTAGCTATGGCGGTGGCAGAAGGTTTTAATTACTGCCAGGAAACAAAGCTTAGCAGGAGAGGAGAGCCAGAGAAGTGACAGGGAAGCTACAGGTTACAACAGATTTGTGAACTCAGCCAAGCACAGTGGTGGCAGGGCCTAGCTGCTACAAAGAAGACATGTTTTAGACAATACTCATGTAACTCGAGGACTGTATTTGTGACTAATTGTATAACAGGTTATTTTAGTTTCTGTTCTGTGGAAAGTGTAAAGCATTCCAACAAAACGTTTTAATGTAGATTTTTTTTGTTTGCACCCATGCTGTTGATTGCTAAATGTAATAGTCTGATCATGACGCTGAATAAATGTGTCTTTAAAAAAGAAAAAATCAAGCACTTCTTCCAAAATATAGCTCCCTTTAAATTGAGGTGAATTTTTTAGGTTAATCTAGGATAAATAGAAATTGAACTCTTACCCCACATCTCCCAGCTAGTCAGGGGCCAAGAACTCAACATTCTTCTCTCTGAACATAGAGTTTTTAATTTTTTTAACAAATATCAAACACCAGACAATATGCTAGGTACATGGAATAAAGTAATAAATGATAAATAAGACTCAGGGCTGGCTTTCTGGAAGCATCAGGCAGACACGGGTAAACTGGAGTGTTCGCAGATGCTCCAGAGGCCAGGAGAGCCTCCTAATCTTGAGGGTCAGGGAAATCTGCAGAGGACAAGTAGGGCTGGGGCTGGAGGAAAAGGGGAGGCAGTAAGTGGTGGGTCCCTCTGGGAGTGGCATGTTTGAAGGTCCGGCATAGAGGTTCTAAGGCCCCATTCAAACAGGCCCCCACTCCTGACAGTGGGAGTAGAAATCTGGTGCTAGGCTCAGCTTTGAGAGTGCAGCCTCTGAGCAGTGAGTGTTGCAGATGGCTAGGAGCCCAAGAATGGCCTGGGCTTCAGGACCTTCTAGTTATAAAGAAAAATGCCTCCTTCAGCTTATCTCAGTTCATCCGGCATTTCCAAAGTGAGTGAAATAACATCATTTTGTCTCCATTATCATCAACATACTCAGATGAAACTGGGTTTTTGGTGATGCCTGGATTTCAGAACAAGTTGGTTACTTAATCACTTTGTGCAGATCATCAAATGGATAATCTTATATCAAGAAAACAGGCAAAAAAAAAAAAAGAAAAAGAAAACAATTAGGCACAACTTAATGTCATAAAGTAAAATTTTATGTTGTAATTTTTTTTTGTATTAGGAAATTTTTCTTCCATATAATGAATATAGTGCCAACAGTCCTTCCTTTAGAAAAATACTCTGACCTTATGTCCTTTTTGCCCGTTTACATTTAGAAGTCCCCCATCCCTACAGGGTATGTGAATATTTTATGTCTTTTCTTGAAAAATAAAGAGGGACTGCTATCCTTTTGGACCCCTAATTTCAAGGTTGGTTGGTTGGTTTTTAGTAGGTCTGTGAAATCCGAAAGTCTGAAACCATTAGTTTCATTCAGCACGAGAACATGTTGTGCAGAGTTAGGCAGGGATTGGGCCATGCAGGACCGGGTAAGCTGTGCTGAAAAATTTGGGTTTCCTACTAAAGGAAGTAGGGAATCACAGGAGGATTTTAAGCAGGACCTTAACATCAGATTTGCCCTTTGGAAAGATCATTCTGGCTGTTCTGTGTGGATGGAGTCAAGAGCTAGAGCTGAAAACTGGAGAGATGAGTAGGGAGGCAGAGCTCAGGTGTGGCCCTGGGATAAGGAGTTGACGTTGGTGGGCCGCGAGTGACTGAAGAATGAGGGAAGTGGGGCCTGAAAGGAGGAATTGAGATTCCTGGGTTGGTCAGGAGATGGATGGTGGCGCCATGCCCTCAGCTGGGGATGCGGAAGGAAGGGGTTTGTGTCCGTGGCGTTTAGTGTCCTTTGGAGGAAATGGGGGTGAGGGGAAGGGGGATTTGAGTTGTTTTTCCTATTCTGAGCTGAGGGGTCTGTGGGATGGCCCAGTGGGAGTGGACTGGACCCCACAGAGAGTCCTCAGAATGAGAAGTAGGCTGTGGGCCAAAGGCAGGGGAACATCAGCAAAAGAAGAATCCCTGGTGGGGATCACAATAGAACGGCCAGAGGTGAGAGCAAACCAGAGCACGGCAGCCTCAGAGCCCGAGGCAGTGTTCATGGAGCAGGAGGAAGGGCATGAAATGCCACAGAGAGTTCGAGCAAGCGCCGTCTGGGCGGCTGGGGAGCGGAGGTCCTCGGTGACCTTCCTGAGCCACCTCAGTGCACAGGGGCGGGAGGGATGCAGCTCGTGAGCTGCGGATGGAGGCAGGAAGCAAAGAGCAGACCTCCATTTCCACCAAGGGGGGTGGCCTCGAGCAGAGCCCCCCGTGAAGATGCTGCGGTGTCAGCCTGTTCAGCGCACGCTGAGTGGAAACGGCTCTGAGGGGCCGTGATGAGGAAAGAAGATTTAGGAAAAGGGGGTGCTGTCAGCTGGGCAAGGGTGGAGGGCACTGCCCGAGATGCCCTTCTCGCAGAATCCAGGCTGGGGACTCTCCCACCCCGTTTTCTCGGACTCATTCACATGTGACAGAGTCTGGGGCGGGGGGAGGGTTGTTCTGATTTTTCTCCCTGAGAAAGGTTTTTTGGGTGTCCAAAGTAAGATTTTTAAGAATTTATCTATGCAGGGGCGCCTGGGTGGCTCAGTTCGTTAAGCGACTGCCTTCAGCTCAGGTCATGATTCTGGAGTCACAGGATCGAGTCCCGCATCGGGCTCCCTGCTCAGCAGAGAGTCTGCTTCTCCTTCTGACCTTCCCCCCTCTCATGTGCTCTCTCTCTCTCATTCTCTCTCTCAAATAAGTAAATAAAATCTTTAAAAAAAAAAAAAGAATTTATCTATGCAGCGTTTTGTCTTCCCTGTGTGTCTTCCTTGTGTGAATTTTGAACATAAGACTCGTTCTTTCCATGTTTCCTCCTCTCGTTTGGTTTTTTTCATATCCTTGAGACTCCTGTACATGTGTTCTTCCCTGTCTATGTGAAAGACATGTTCAGTTTGTTTCCTATCCTAGATCAAATAGGAAATCTCTAAATCAAGATTCTAGACTAACTGGTAGACCCCCTTAAAAAAAGAAACATTTCACAGTTTTTTTCATGGCTCCATTCTTATGGGCTGCAAAAAAAATACTTACCATAGTCTGGGGAATGAGAAGCAGCTCTACCTTTTGCTCTAGTGAAGGAGATTTTTCACTGTAAGAACAAAAACTTGAAAATCCTACAAAATACTGATAAGTTTGATGACATTACAACATAAAATTATGTCAAAAATCTCTATAAAACAAAATCAAAAGAAAGTGCGAGAAATGTTAGCGACTTTTATGATTAAAGGGCTCATGTTTATTATATACAAAGGGTTTTACAGATCAATAGGAAAAAGACCACCTGATAGAAAACCGGGCAGAGCTCACCAAGAGATACAAGAGGAGATGTAAATGATCAATAAACATAAAAATATACTTCCTCTCATCATTAAACCCTTAGAAAGTAAGAAAATGAGAATGGATTTGGCAAAGATTCCTTTAAGAAGTGGTAATACCCAGTGCTGGCAGAGTGTGGAGAAACCGGCGGGCGCGTGGTTGGTGGGGCGGGGGGGATGGATAGACAGCTCACGATTGTGTGTCCGTGATCTTTGAATCTCTTATCACAAATATATATGCTTAAAAGCAGCAATAAAAATAATGTTGCAGATTTGATTTTAAACACACTTGCGCATAGCACGTTCCAACAAATCAAACAACCCTGTTTAGATCTCACTTCTTGCGCTTACTGATTCTATCCTCGTGGGCAAACTAGCTGACCTCTCCGCCTGTTTCCTCGGTGATAAACTCTGCATAGCAATACCCCGGATAAGTTAGTGCGCAGGTAAATGAATAACATACGGAAATGAACGGTCAGTGGTAAACACTCCATAAATAATAGCCACTCTTGTCATGGTCATCAAGGAATGAATGGTAATGTGTTATCACCCTTGAAGCTGCCGTCAGTGAAGTGACACCTGGAGCTGCCTAAGCACACATGGTGAACCTGCTCAGAGACAGAGCGCAGGAAAAAGCAGCTCATAGCGGTGTGCTCTCAGAGGATGTGACACTTTCCTGTAGAGAAAGGCAGGTTAGTAAGATGGAAAAGGAAGTATTCTGGCACTTTTCAGCCAACAGCCTTGAAGATAAGCTTCTAACGTTATATCCTGGTAGCGGTCAGGTTAGAGTGATGTTTCTGTGTAATCCCTGTTACCTGCAACCTGGCGCCGACTCGTGTTTTCAGCGTGAACCCCAGGCCTTGTTTCTGTCACCCCTTCATCATCTTAGTGCTTTCACTTCTCTGACCTGCATAGAAAATACTGGGAGAACTGAGGTTCTGATCCATTCCATGGATGTGGACGTGTAAATGAGCCTACGGTCCAGGTCTCTGTACCCAGATTGCTGCTAACTTAGGTGACCCTCCTCCCTCTCATACTTGGAGATAGCTCTTTTTTTTTTTTAAAAGATTTAATTTATTTATTTGACAGAGGGAGAGAAAGCACGAGCAGGGGGGAGCAGGAGAGGGAGAAGCAGGCTCTCCGCGGAGGCAGAGCCTGATGCGGGACTTGATCCCAGGACCCTGGGAGATAACCATCTGAGCCACCCAGGCACCCTTGGAGATAGCTCTTGATAGAAAACGTGAGACTGGACCTCCTCCATCCTTGCTTTGTGACTTGATTGGTCTCTCAAAGTATTATTCCATTTCATTCTTTTCTTTTAGGTCACACTTGTTAATTCTGAATCTGCCAGATCATGCCTAGAACAGAAAGGAGAGTGGGGAGTTCAGTACCAGCTGAGTAAGAATTGTCCACAAGTTCAAAGTTAGTTCTGTTTTGTTTTTTTTTAAAGTTTATTGATAATGCATTCTCCGCAGTAGATTTCCTAAGCATCATAGTTACCCATTTCTTTTTAAATCTGGCTAATTAGTTAATGTGTGGTGGGACTGTCTTTTTTTACTTTTTATTTTGAGATAACTATAAATATACATGCAGTTACAAGAAATAGTAGAGATCCCATAAACCCCTTAACCGAGTTTCCTCTGATGGAAACTTCTTGCTAAACTGTAGTTCCACACCACAACCAGGGTGCTGCTGCTGCTACAGTTGAGCTACAGAACATTCCTATCACAAGGATCCCTCGTGTTGCCCTTCTATAGCCAAATCCGTTTCCCTCCTGCTCCCCTCACCCTCTCTTACTAATCTGTTCTCTTCTCCTGTGATTTTCGAGAATGTTATAGCCAAGGAGTCCTACAGTATGTGACCTTTGGGGATTGGCTTCTTTCACTCCGCAGAAAACACCCATCTTGCTGTGTACATGTAT